AGAAAGACAGACAGAACGAAAAGGAAGAGAGAGAGAGAGAGAGAGAGAGAGAGAGAGAGAGAGAGAGAGCGAGAGAGCCCTGTTGGGACCTTTTCACCCACTTGCTGAACCTTACACATTGCATGATTATTCTGAGAAAGTAACAAAAGACAGTCACATGGGTGCACTGCACTTCATTATCATCTAGCACAGAGGTCACCAATTAGCGGATTGTGGATAATTTATCATAAATTAATATAATTAGAAGCAATTTTTTCTGCACATGGCAAAACTGAGCTTCTGGAGACAGCAGGAAAGATCCGTTTCAAGTAAAAGGAGATGCTATTTATGATAATCTAATACTTGGGCTATACAAAAAAAAAAATGTTCCTTGCCACAGACTAGCTGTTTTTTTTTCTCACTGGTGGTTTGTAATAAACCTTCATATTTACTGCAAAGCTGATTTGGAGCCATGTTTATATGGGGAAATCACTGTATAAAATAGCTTTTTATACATTTAGACAATTTCTTGAATACAATTTTAGCAATTGTATACAATTTTGTACTAGTTTTTAGTTGCTCACTGGTGGTTTGTAAAATACCATTATATAAATGGCAAAGAATATTTGAAGCCATTTATATAGTGAAAATCACTATAAAAATACATACGAATTTATGTATTTAATTATTTAACAATTTTAAACCAGTTGCTTTTAGTTGCTCAATTGTGGTTTGTAAAACACCATAACATTCGCTGCAAAATTGATTTGGAGCCATTTATATTGTGAAAATCACAATAAAAATACACTTGAATTGGTTTTAGCTATTTTTTACTGGGCAAATCAGCACAGAGAGAGACTTAACTATTTAGGATTACTATTTACTTATTTTTATAAGGTATTTGGCTGTGATTTTAAATATTTACAACAAACTTTCCTGAAGTACACATTAATTATTTAATTTCAGGGCCATACAAAATATGTTCCAAAATCTAGTGGGCTGCCTCTTTGTATACCGCCTACATAAACAACCACCTACTAAAGCAGCATAATAACAATTACAGAACCTCATTAGTAACCAATCTTTAACACTCTACACAAGTAGCGAAACAGAGATTAACTAAAAGAAAACTAACAGAACAATAATCTAATAATTCTAAATAGGCCTATACACAAACCTATACTCTGCAGAAACCTGGAACACAGAAGTTGAGTCCTAAAACTGTTTACGTTATTTTGGTACTTGTGATTGTTCAGAACATTGCTGAAAAGTAAATGCAGAGACTGGACTTCATGGAAGTTTAACCGGACACACCTACTCTAGTGTGTGTTTATGTGCTTTGGGAATGCTTCAGAAAACAGAGCGAGAAAGAGATTGTCAGCGAGATACAAGGTCAAGGCCCTAAGGATGCCATCTGATTATGAGCAGACTCATTTTCTGCTTCTGTACTCTTCCTCGCTTCTTGCCCCATTCTCCACTCCTCGGATCTCCTTGAACCTGTCCGTCATACTGTCAGCTGTCATCAAGAGATGATGGAGGTACATCTGTCAGTCTTGCCTGGGTGACAAGGCCATATTTCCTGTGTCCATGACTGCTAAATTTCCCTTTCTCTAACCTTGTCCTGTTCTTGGCTCACTTTCATCTAGCTCACACTTCCTTTACTCACCTAATTCTTCCTATCTCTCGGTCTTCTCAAACCTGAAAGCTTTATCTCCATGAATCTTCCCGTATTCCATTACAGTAAATTTTTCCTGAAGGGTTGGAGGGTTGAAGCGCTACCAAATATTTTGCTAAATAAAAACTAAGAAACAGCAAAACAAGCATGCATATGCTTCATGCTTTTCGTGACTTAATCCCGTTACGCAAGCACCGAGACTCACAACAGGCTAGTTTCATAAAGGGGGCTGCAAAGAATACGGATGATGTATTACTCAATTAGGTGACAGCTGAGAAAAACAGCATGTCCAGTCTGTGTTTTCCAGGAGCTCTCTGTCTCCACTTGCCTGATGTCACTTCACAGTGTCTTGTGATGGATTCCAGGCCAAAAGGCACTCGAGAGGGCGGATGGAGTATATGAGAGAGAGCTTGTCAGCAGGGTATGCTAACGGCTGCCTGCCTGCCAGATCCGCCATGCCAAACACTTCCTCTACATCCTGCCCTCCTCTAGTGCACTTCCTGCAAACACCCAGAAATCAGCTGCAGCGAAGAGAGACGCTTCTGTCGGTGCATTCATATACACATTCGCACCCGCTGATTGTCAAAAACAGCAATTAATTAATTCTCTAATGTCACGGTGTCACATAAACAGGAAAACATGGTTTCCTGGCACATGGAAGTGTAACATAATTATTATTCAGTCTAATGAGGGTTTTATCTTGTGGTGATAAGACTCCCCGAGATGGTGGTCTGCTTCAGAAACACTTTGATGCCAATCTGTCAGTGGACAGCTGCAACACACTGGGGGCACAGCTGATCCAGGGTCAGATTGGGAGTGTGATGCCATATTCTAACCAGGAGTGATGTGCCAAGCATCAAGGTTGTATAAAAATAAAAAAATAAAAAATAAAATTAATTAAAATGTTAATATTGTAGAATATTTTGAATCAACGAAATTAAATATTTTTACTATTTTTCAATATTTTACTATTTTAAATAAATAAAAACAAAATAAAATAAATAAAGAATTATGTGTGTGTGTGCACGTCCTATGTCTTATTGAGACCTGAACAGCACACTTTGATATCTGTGTTTAAACTAAACTTGTTTAAGCCTTGCCAGTTTAAATATTTAAGAGCCAGAGGACGCAAGCTCGTGCGCGCAGTAAGAAGATTTGTGCGTGCGCAAACCCGCGCCTCAGAACGCGCGCAAATATTAAGCTCTCTCCGAGTCTGAAGTATTGTGTGTGTGCACGTCCTATGTCTTATAATATACAGCATATGTCCATGGCCTGTTCTATTCGTGTGTGTGTGTGCACATTTATAAGTATAGTGTGCTGCCAGTTGGTGGTGTGTTCCTCTCTGTGAAGGCTAGGGTTGCCAGATCAGGATTACAGATGGATAAAAGGAGCTCTTATTTAATCCACCCCCGAGAGGGGCACAGCTGGTGGAAAACAGGATAGAGAGAAAGAAAAAAAAGGACAGAGAAAAGAGAAGAGGAGACTTTCACATTGACTGCTGTGAGATTTGTTTCATTCAAAAACTTCAAAAGTTCAAAAGAGGACTGTTGATCTAGACTAGGGATGTGAAAACAGACCAGATCAGGGTTGCCTGAATGACTAGTTGACTCAGTCTTAACTGGAAGCCTTATATTATTAGGCTGGTTTCAGGTTCGCCTGACTCAACTAGATATGTTTCTTTGGTAACACTTACAAAAGACTCAGTCTGGCATTCAAATTCAAATTCAACAACAAGAAACAGAGAAAATAATGTAGCTAAACTAGTCCACTTCAATGAGCGTCATGACTGATCCCAAATAGGCTTTCTGATTTCTTGGATTCTAAGGAAATTAAACCTATTTCTAAATTTCTGTATCTCATCACAGGACATTGTGCCATAGTCCATAG